CCCCGGGGTGTTGAACGTGTTTCGCGTGCTGGCGCCAATTTTCAAAATGCTGGTATTTGGTTTTTATGGAGCTGCCAATTTCGGAAAGAAACGAGGCATGTGTTACTTCATTTTGGATAATTTTGTTGAACTTTCGCCCGAGTAAACTGGCAGCGAAGCCTTTTTTGTGCTAAAATTTGAGCAATTTGCAAACGCTGGAACCTCTTCTCTAGTCGCTGTGTTTTCTAGCTTGCTTCTATGAATTATATTACTTAATAAGATAAATTGACCAAAACTCGCTCAGATTCAATCAATCAATTAATCTTTATTCATAGAGTAACACCTAATAGTTACACAACTAATAAACTTGTGGCCCTATTAACTAACAATAATTAAAGAAATTACCTAGAAAGACAACCAAACGATAGGAAGCAACACCATACTGTTACGTGAACTTATTTGGTGATTTCGACATAATTATCAGTTCTAAATCTCGTCAAAAAGCCCACATTTTCAAAATATCATTAATATGCACATTATGCTTGGATTACCTATGATTCGCCTGTAGGCTGTGGGTTGAAAATAACTCGTGAGACTTCCCGTGAAGTCCAGATGACTTGCTTGAGCCGTGAATGTGTGTTCTGTTCTAATCGTTCTAATCACTTGTGAGCATCGTTACTCCGCACCCATTTCACACGTCACGTCATTTAATCATGCCGTTTTCCACCAAAATTACCATCAAATTGTGTTATAAATAGCTTGCTTTCTCCAGTATATCTGCAAAGAATTTTATGCTCAATACGCCAGTACAAAGCTAAGTGAATTTAGATTCTTGAGGCAATTATGATTTGGTTGTTAAGATGCCCTGAGTAGCTCAACTGGCCAAGATACATTCGTTGCGTAGTCTCCACTCGTCGACGCAATCTTGAATTTTGCATATGAGATTGAATTTTTCAAACTAGAGATCGAAACCTCGCACATGCGCCACTCTTTAAAACTGTGCTTTTGTGTCTTAGGAAAAAGTCGCGAACAACTAAATTTAATTTGCTTTCTGTATAAAATGTACTCGAGGTCTGCATATTTAATTCTAGGTGCATTTATTTTATTTAAAAAAAATAATTTATTATTATTGGGTGGCCAAAATGTAGCAAAATCTCTGTAAAAATGACATTTCTATAACAAGTATTTAAAACTTGTTTTGCTCTGTTTAGTACCCAGCTTCAGTAACTCTTGCTGAAATAAAGCGTGAATGTCCAGTTTTCGCCGACAACGTTTGCCCATTTGCCAAGCTTCCGGAGGAGCATAAAGGCGCGGCCGGCAAGTGCCCTGCCTTCCAGAAGGGCTGTCCATTTAAAGAGTGTAGAACTGTTGGTGAGTTTGAAGACAAGCTTGGTCAGATGCGAGACCAGTGCAAAGGTGATGCTGCTTACGTGGAGTTTCTCAGAGAAACTGTTCTGACTGCCAAGGAGAAAGAAGCTGTTGTGGGGTCCGCTTGCCCGTTTTNCAAAGGTGATGCCGCTTATCTAGAGTTTCTCAGAGAAACTGTTCTGACTGCCAAGGAGAAAGAAGCTGTTGTGGGGTCCGCTTGCCCGTTTTTCCAGTCTAAGGGTGGCTGCCCGTTTGCTAAGGATACCAGCAGAAAGCCGATACTTTCTCCGGACTACATCGTGGTATGTTTTAATTCTATGATCCATCTTAAATTCGCTGAAACTGTTGTCCCTTCGACATTTGACATCTTACGAAAGAGCATCCGCACATAAACGTAGAGGCCAAATTCTTCCTTTTGCATTTTTGAGCAACGTTCCAGGAAAAGTACCTTTTTGCATTGAAGTCTCAATGTTGGTTTACTTTCCATCAATTCAAGCTATATATTTTCTGACATTGCAAGAAAAAAGTAAAATTCAAGATGGCGGACATACAACACTGGACATGTCCTGTTACAACGATACTCGGGGAAGGGATACCATTCCCCTCCTTTTGGATTATGCTTGGGATAGGAATCTGCGTCTTTATCCGGGGGCTTAACACGACAAGAATTATATTTTAAAATAATTATTTAATTAAAACCTAGGAATAAAGCTCACAATTAACAAATCATTATCCACGATCTTTGCTT